TGAGTTAATACTACTCCATTTAGCATTCTGCTACTGTTGGCAACTATGCCAAATACTTGACTCAAGGCTTCCCTGTAGTAGGACAGCTTTAAAAAAGGATGCCAGCTTCCTGGCTTTTGTTTAGTATAAATTTCCAAAAAGTTTGCAGGTGGTAATAAGTAATAAGGATAAATGTGCCTTTCTGATGATAAAGATCTAGTTGTCTAAATGCCTTTCACTTCAAGGAAAACCAGACATCTTAAGGAGATGAGTTTTGTCACATTGTTTAATTGTCAGCACTTCAGGCTCTGAGTAAGCACTCCAGCATGCAAGACAAAGGTGAGTTAACTTGGGTGGAGACAGCCACTTTGACTAAAAGACTACCATTAAAATGTACTTTGGACAAACTGACATCTGTCAGTGGAATTTGACTCACCTACCTCTTGACCTAGTCTTCTTGATTTATGGTGGGATTGTGGGGGTCATTCTTGTTTTGCTTATACTGCATAGCTCCCCACTTACTTAATTATTCCATGTTCTGCTAGGTCACAGCATTTGGAGGAGGTAGCAGCTAGCCTAAGAGAGCGAATCAAACACCTGGATGATATGGTCCACTGCCAACAGAAGAAAGTCAAACACATGGTTGAAGAGGTGAGATCTAGTAAAATAATTTTGAGTCTTTTGGGAACACTGATTCTTTTAACACATAATCCAGAGAGCTCTGTTCTGTGTGCAATTTCCTTATGCCACCTTAGTTACAAACACAGTGGAAGAGAGTTAAGCATCTGGAGCTAGTGAAGCAGAAAAACTAGGTGAAAGCAGTTTAATCCAGTGTCTATGGGTTATGCACTGTGATCTTTAGGCTGACACTAATTCTAGAACTAATTCATGGTAGTCCAGGAAATACAACATACAACTTGCATCTTAATTTGAAGCATTCAGAGGGTAACTGCAGAAACAATGCAAACTAGTCATTGAGGGTCTCCTTCTGTACAGAAGTGGAAGCCAAAAACTGCCTTTTTCTTTTTTTGTTCCTCACAGAAATAGGGGTGCGAACACAGTTTTTCCACCACTCCTCTGTTTTACCCTGATCTTGGAACATCATCTTAGCTGATATAATTTCCTGTAAAATTTTAAGTGGCTTTCTGCTGGAAAGCTGCTTCAAGATACAGGCTACCTACATGCCAAGAAACTGTTTAGCAGTCTGAAGGATGTGATTGCAAACATTTATGTTTCTCCAACTGGATGAAAGAATGACGTGGGAAATAGGTAAATTAAGTTTAAATTGGAGCTTTACAAAGCAGACTGACAGCACCATTACGTTGAGCCTTGCTATTGCACAGAGGATAGGCATTTGTGAAATATCTTTTATTTCTATTTGGACATCACACATTCACAAGATCCAGTGTTTGGAAACCATTCTAACCTAAGGCATTCCTTCTGCATTCACAACGTGCTATTATAGGATTTCTGATTAGATGTGGAATTTTTCCATTTTTATCAAGGTGGTATTTTTTAATACATTATATATATATATATATATGTCCTTTATTTATACATATATTTACCTGTATCTGTTTTTAAAGTTCTTTGTCATACCATCAGTATAGAGGACTGGTATAAAGTCTTGAGGTTTTGTTTCTCGTTCAGTATGCCATTTTCACTATTTTCAAGCATCATCGCACGTGGTCTAAAACTTGGCTAACACTCGTTATACCATGGTATTCTATTAAGGAAAACTTCTCCAGCCTAATAATCCAGTCCAGATTCTTCTCAGTGGTGCTCAGTGACAGGACAAGGGGTAATGGGCACAAACTGAAACATAAGAGGTTTCAGTTGAATATGAGGAAGAACTTCTTTACTTTGAGGGTGACAGAGCATTGGAACAGGCTGCCCAGGTGGCTTGTGGAGTCTCCTTCTCTGGAGATATTCAAGGCACGCCTGGATCATGTCCTGTGCAACCTGCTCTAGGTGAACCTGCTTTAGCAGGAGGGTTGGACTAGATGATCTCCCGAGGTCCCTTCCAACCCTTGCCATTCTGTGATCTAATTAATGGATTATGGGTAGAGATATTTAATCTGTTTTGTAGCTCTGTGAGCCAACCATCATATTATGAGCTTTTTTTGTTCTAACCAAAAATTCTAAAGGACTTGGTGATACATGTGGCAACCCAGATGATTCTAGTAATATGTAAAAGGATGGTGGCCTAAACTTTGCCATTTATTTCTAAATATATCTTAAACTGCCCCATGTAACTTGACCTCTAGTGGGCTGCATTGGTATAACAAATACAGTTGCATGGGGTATTTTGGCAAAAAACATGTATAAAGCTTGGGCCAATGATTATTATTTCATAAATATTTGATTTAATGGGTGAGTTTTGCCGGCTGATTCCTTGTATCTCTGCTGGTGCCTTCATATACACAGAAAGTCCTTCTAGATCTTTTGGTTATCCTATGTAACAAGTAAAATGTTAGATGACCAACTCACTACTTAGCTGCCAAACATGTCTACTTTTAATTGATGTCTAACCACCTGCTTTTCAAAATCAATTAAATCAAATTAAATTTGTAAATCTCTGTACAAAACCTTGATTGCCAAGTACCCACAGGGAATACATTTTTGCTCTTGCCTTTAGTCCTCATGTGCATTAGTTTTTCTTCTAATTCCGTTTCCCTGAGAACTGCATGCACACCTGTATTTTCACTTAGTAAACTAACTAAAGACTCCTGTAACAGAGGTTTGATCAGGTCAGATGGTACCAAATACATTAGGCACTTAATGTTGTTGTTTTTAAATTTTGTGCTTTCCATGGTTTGTGTTTGTACTGTGTTTGAGGAAATATCTACAATACAGTTGGCACGCACTATTTTAAACTAGACTCTTTTAATTAAAGGCCTAAAAATAGCTTTGGTGGTATGGAGAAGAGTAGCTGTCCACCATGGGGGAAGATAAAAAGCACTGCAGATGTGTATGCCCTGAGCTGTCCACACATGTGGCATTTTTCATGATTTTGTGCTATTTTCTATGTAAATATTAGAAAAGTATTTTTAGGCTCACTATAAGCAACACTTACTAACTATGCCGTAGAAGCTGAGAAATCAGCAACAAAAATACTTCTTAAAAGGTAGACTGTTGAAAAGGAATGCTCTCTGAAGAGTCTGTTCTGGAGTTAAGTTAAAAACTAGGGAGCAGCAACACTAAACATACTTTCTAGAGTAAATAGGGAGGATTTTCTAATTGTGCTACTATTTAAGTCCCAGAAATGTGTTCTTCAGGGTATATTTGAACGCACATCCTCTCTACATTAAATTTAACTGAATGCAGAATGTAATGGCTAGGAATATCTAGAGAAGTGTCATGAAAACCTGCCATGTCACTCATTATTGCAATACTTTTATTGCTGGTATCTGTAAAATAACATTCCATTTTAGGGTTTATGAGGACATTCTAATGATCTGTAACTTGCATTTAAATAATATCATTGAGAAAGAAAATGGTCAAAGCAGCTAGAAAGCCTACTTTCTGAAATGCTTAGCTTCTCTGTTGCATGAGAATAGACTGAGAACAGGCTAACCTGGGAGACTCAGGAGTGGAAAGAAAGTAAATAGTCAATTATCAGCAGTGCTTTTGTTAGAAGCTGAAACAAAGCTGCTATATGAACTTGGTGAGAATGATGGCTAAGCCTATGCTTGCTTGACTACAGGATGAGTTTTGTTTAGTTTTAATCTTGGTATATTTGGACACAGATCTGAAGTATAAATGAGGGGTTTATTCCTTCAGTGTAAACCACAACGGGTTTATGCTGTTATCATCTCCAACTTAGACAAAGTGCAGCTACAGAAATTAACATCATTTCAAGGGGGCTGCTGAACAAACAAGATATGCTGCTTCAAACTCACATGGAGAACTTTCAAAATTGAACAAGTACTGAGATGAATCTGCTGGCTGAAAAGTCACAAAACAGATTCCTCTTGAGGGATTTTTAGGTTTTTTTTGAAGGCATTCTGTAAAAGAACAGCAAACAGTCAGGAGAAGTGGAAGAGAAGCTTTATAGTGGAGTGTTGTGATGCAGTAGGCAGGTCTAACACCTCCAATGCTGTTTTGATGGCATTTAGAAATGTGTTAGGAGGCTGTGGCCAGTCCTAATCTAGGCATGCATGAAAGGGGATGCTGGCAGAGAAGCACCAAATGTAAGAGGCTATGGAGGAAAAGTGTATAAAAGCCTTTCTTTTCACAGGACTCATCTTGTTGGTAATGAATGCAGTAGATACGTGACCTGTGGAATTGAGCCCAGGCAGAGAAGGATAATCACAGTGCAGTGCTCTTATACTCCTTAGCAAAGAAACCATTTATCTCTAATTTTTTTTCTCTGAAAATAAATCCTTCCATCTTGGGCATTAATAAAACCTTTTTCAACTTGACCTAGCCAAACCAGTCATAATTTAAATAGGAGCATGGAAAATAACTTTCAGAAGAAAATAAATGGAAGAAATAAAATGGAAGTTTTCTGGAGTTGGTGACCTTTAACATCTCTGTGTGTTCGATCCCATGCACACCCATTTTTCAGCCTCATAGGGATTCTCTGCTGTGAGAGCCAAGATTGCAGCCCATTAGAACACCAGTGAAATCAGTGAACATTAATGGTAGACTGTTTTGGGGGGTTTTTGGTTTTTTTTTTTTTTAGCCCTTGCCTTTGTAGCCATCTTAAAGTATGGCTGGGCAGAGAGACTTTCAAAGATAATCCAGGAAGAAGCCAGTTCAATCAGAGGAAGAATTTGCAGGAAGACTCACAGCATGAAAGGTGGAAGCATACAAACTTCAGGGCCCTCCACTATGGAGTTTCCAGTGCAGAAATGGAATTGGGCAGGCAGATGCAGGCACAGAGGCACTATTGGAGGGTATGGGGAGCTGCTACCACATTGTTCCTTTCTGGGTTGAAATTGCTTTTGTTCTGTGAGAGGGGTGAAAGCTTGTCTTTTGCATTATCTATTTGATATGGTCAATCAGTTTATCCTGTCTTTGCCAGTCTAGGAGAGTTAAGTGTAAGATAAAGCTGAAAGTCTTCAAATCAAATAAAGCCCATTGATTTTAAATCAGCAACCGAAGGTATTTCCTGGCTTGATCTCAATTTCAAACATGGAGAGATTCAAGAGAGCTTTAGTTTTGCGATTTGTGCAATTGACATTGAAATGGATTGCAGTTTCATGGCACAATAAGCTTATTTTATACGTAATATTGTTTCATTGTTGAGAAGCAGGAGAGGGAAGGAAGCATTTACATTTTGTAAGCAAGGCAAGTGAGTTGATGCAGATATAGGGAGCTGTTCTGAAGGGGACTGAAAAGAGAAAAGGCTATTTGATTCCATGCCAAGAAATTACCTACAGAACTCAGATTTCACCTGAAATTCCCCTAACTACTGAATTGAACTGTCTCTAGGTCATGGCCCATGAGCTGTTCTCCACCTTTAGTCTCAGATTCGTTGGATAATAAATGGTGACCAAACACCAGGGAGAAGCTGTATCCTGTCCTGTTATGGAAGATACTTGCATGAAAGGACAAAGTGCTAATGAGCAGATGATATCCCAGATACAGAAGATACTTTGTATTGCACAAGTGGGGAATAAAGAAGAAATTTTCCCACCAAAGAC